ACCACCACCCACCGACTGTAAAGCAGGCACCGCCACCACCGACTGTGAAGCGGGAATCGTCATCGGCAATACTGGCACCTTTGAAGTTGCTGAGTGGATGTGGTGTGCCTGGTGTTTTGTCTGGAGTGAATGTGGATGACACGACCATAGGCAAACTTTCGTCGAAGGAATGCAGTATGAGAGCAGTCGGCGATGGCGGACGCATTTCCAGTGATATGTCGTCTTCGTTGCCCCAAGTTGGGTCAGATGGACGGCACTCTTCTTCTTTAAGAGAGAGCCTAGATGAACTTTTGCCCTGTGGTGAGGGTGGTGATGCTGCGTCGAGAAATGATGTCGGAGAAGGTCCGGACAGTTCTTTTGTCATTTGTGAGAAATTGCTCAGGCTGCTAGGGCGCATCGCTTGTTCCGGTAAAGAGGTTTCGTACGGTGCTACAACTCCTGACGCTGCAGTAAATGATAATAATAACCTTCTCCAGTCCTGCTACGGTGATGAACACGCTCTGCTAGACGATCTGTTCGCGCATGTTCTTCTGGCTCTTGAAAAGGTGGTGGAAAACTTTCTTTGCAGCGCCTTGACAAGGGAGTGGAAGGACAAGCTTCAGTGCGAGGTGTCACGGCAGTCACCTTCGGAAGTGGAGACCCCGCGGCGTTGGATGACGGCGTGGCGTCAGGCGCAACGCCGGGACGAAGAGACATGGATTGAGTGGAGGTCTGCGCTTTGCCGCTCCTGGCGCCGCACCCGGCGGGAGAGTGCATCACGAGAGCGGAGCGAGTTTCTAAACGCTGCCCTTTTTCACTTTGACCCCGTTGGCGACGCATCAAGGCCGGGTGCCTCGAGCCCCTCGCACCGCGGTGCTGGGAGGCGTCAGAGGGAACAGCAGGCGATTAATCAGAGGCTTTACGCGCTTTTATACCGTATGTTTTGGACCTGCCCTGCGCTTCTGCTTGACGAGCAAACCCAGCGTCTGGCGGCGGGGGCCGGGTTTAGTTTGGACTCCGTGCGTCAGGGGATATGTGCGGTGGGAGACGAGGAGGCGGAGGCGGAGGAGATCACCGGTTTTATACGCAGTCTTTCTCGTCGCGGGCAGGGTCAGACGCGCGAGACTGACCTCGCAACGCTTGAGGAGGTGGAACGGTTGTTTGCTGCCGAGCGTCGGGCGATGTTGCGCCGGCTCGACGCGGGACAACCCCCGCCTTCCTCCTCCTCCTCACCGGCGACGTCGTCATGGCCAGCGCAGCCCACTGGGGGTCCGCATGCATCGTGCAGTCCGTCCCCACAGACCAATAGTTCCACCACTTGTTACTCCGCGGCCTCGCTGCTTCGGTACGTTGAGCCGAATCCCATTCAACTTTGCCCCCCAAGTTTGACGTCACTCGGCTGCGGCTCCCCTGCCGCACGCATTCCGGATGCAGTGGAGGGGCGGTTAGCGAGGCATCTCACCTCCCCAATTTACGAGACGGCTTTTCACGCGTCCGACGCCCATCTTGACACTTTCGACATGCAAACGGCGAGGCGAACGAATGGCTATGAAAGTCGATGTGTATTGTGGCCTGCAGAAGCAGGGGATAGCGCTAATGCCGCACAGTCGCCAAAGCCGCGTCTTGTGAATCGGGCAGAGTCAGAGCGACGGCTGCCATCTGCGTTAAGGACCCCAAGGTCTGTATCCTGGTGGTGAGGCGGCCTGTGTCTCCCTGTATGTGGTTGGTTGGTTGGTTGGTTGGTTTCGTATCGTAGTTAACCTGTACAGTTGAAGTAACTTCTGCGCCGTGACGCTACGGACGCACTTGGTGTGTGCGATAAGATTCCGCACGCATTTTGATGTTGTCCTCACCCTCCCATTTCCTCCCCACCGTAGCTTTTTCGGCACTTGTTTTAACACCTTTGTGTGGTGTATGCGGAGTAACGCCTTCGCTATGTCCCGTTACCCTTTTTTTTGGTTGTTGTTTTTGCTGGCGGTGGGTGAAGTGTTTGGGAAAGTGGCAGCCACGCTGCGTGTGGGTGGAGCGGAGGGAGATCACTTATTGTATTCGTGCGTGTGACGGAGGTTTAGTGAAGTTTGGGGTTAGGGGAAT